TTTGTTTACATTGTGACTCAGCTTTCCTAATATTCCTCTACAGCAATGATTATTATTATTATTATTATTATTATTATTACTATAAAACATAATCCATAACATACATCTCTCTCCTCTTTCTATTTCTGTCTCCTCCTGTCATTATCTCCCCTTCTCTCATTCTTTCTCTCGCTTTCTGCTCTCTACTTTTCATTCCCCTCTCTCTGCCCTTCTTTCTCCCTATCCTCTCTTATTTTTTTTTCTCTCTCTTCTTTTCTCTCTCTCAGTTCTTCTTTCCTCTCGCTTATTATCTTTCTCTCTCCTTTTCTCTTCATCTCTCCATTTTTCTGCTCCTGTCTCATTGTTCTCTTCTTTTATCATCTTTAGAGGTCTCTTTATCATTCCTTTCTTCTCTCTCTCCCCTTTTTCTTACTTATCCCTCTTTCCTGTTCTCATTCTTCCTCATTCATTCTTTTTCACGCTCCCTCAGTGCTTCCCTCCTCCCATTCTCTCTTTCTCTCTGCTCTGTTCTCCAGTCTGCAGGTCTAATCAGACACAGTGCCACCTGTGCAGAGTGTGTGTGTGATTGTGTGTGTGTGTGTGTGTGAGAGTGTGTGTGTGTGATTGTGTGTGTGTGTGTGTGTGAGAGAGTATGTGTGTGTGAGTGTGTGTAAAAGTGTTAAAAGCACTGAATTATTTATGTTTAAACTCAGATCAGTTACCCCACAACCTGCTCTGTCTGTCTGTGAATGAGCTCCATATAAACATCCTCTCTCTCTTTCTCTCTCTCTCTATCACTCTCTCACTCTCTCTGTCTCTTTCACTCTCTCTGTCTCTCACAACCACAAATAACAAATAACAAAAACAACAAAGAGACTAAAAAATATGCAAATAAAATAAAACACAACCTTCATCCTACAGCAGGTCTACACTCTTAAAAAGATGGTTCTTCAAGCGTTCTTTGGAAAAGACAATGGTTCAAACACTTAAAGAACCCTTTGCATTGTGAAATGGTTCTTCAGGAGAGTGTGTTGCATATAGAACCTTTTAAAAAATGGTTCTATATAACACCAAAAAGCGTTCTGCTACTGTTAAGATTTCAAGCTTGTATACAATAGCAGAACCATTTTTTCCTTAAAAGGTTCTATGTAGAACCATATTCAGCACATTTTCCATCAGTCTGAAGAACCGTTTCACCATGCAAAGCACCCTTAAAGCATTAAATGGTTCTAAAGAGAATCATTCCCTTTCCTAAAGAACGCCTGAAGAACATTTTTTAGAGTGTACTCTACGATCAATTTTATTTTAGAGATATTGTTATCATCTGTAGCGATTGCAGTAAAAGTATCCTGAGAATAGGGGGCGCTGCAGCACTCGGCGGACCCCCGGCTCCCCACCCTTAACCACAGCGCAGAGACTAACACTCCTCACAGCGTTTCGGTGCGATCATTGTTATTGTTGTCATTGTTTTCAGGTGTAAACAAGCCAGCATGTCCTCAATTAGCACCGTTAACCAGAGCAGCTCCTGCGAGCCTCCCTCTCTCGCTCGCTCGCTCACGCCACAGCGATGCAGCACCCTGACTCCACCGCAGGCTCGCATTTCAGCTGCGACGGAAAAATATGCAAATTCACTTAAAAGAAGAAAGAAATAAAGGAAAATGTGCACAATGAACAACAAAGGAAGCAGCAGCGACCTGCACTGGAGAAGGAATCTCTCTCTCTCTCTCTAAGTCTCTCTCTTTGTCACTCTCTCTTTGTCCCCTCTCTCTCTATTTCCTCTTTCTCTCTCTCCCTCTGTCTCTCTCTCTCTCTCACTCTCTATCTCTCTTCTCTCTCTCTCTTACTCTCTCTAGCTGTCTCTCTCACCACCTTTTGCTGTCTCTGTCTTTCTCCTCTCTCTATTTCTCTCTCTCTCTCTCTCTCTCTCTCTTCTCTCTCTCCTTCTTTCCCCTCCCCCAGTACTTTTTCCTTTCTTTGTCTTTATTTCACTTAATTCTGTTGATACAGTTCACTGTCTTTATTTATTTTTGGATATTGAGTCAAATAAATAACTAAAAACACAGTTATTGTGTTTTTATTTATTTATGATTTATTATAATGATATATTGTTATGATATAACACTCCTGTGTTTTTTTTGTAATATGACCTAGCATTTTAATATTCCTGTAAAGCACTTCATAAACTTATTTATTATTATACAACAATACATGAAAATATATATAATACATATAAATATATATAATAATATATATTATTGTTATTATTAATATTATTATTATTATTATTATCTTCTCTATCTCCCTCCTTTCCACTTACCTGACTTTCTCTGTGTGTGTGTGTATATATATATATATATACACACACACACACACGAGCGAGACAGAGAAAGTATATATATATATATATCACACGAGAAATATATATATATATATATATATATATTCTCTTTTCCTCCTCTCTCTCTCTCTCTGTACTTTCTCTTTTCTTTGTCTTTGTTTCACGTTTATTCTGTTGCTACAATTTACTGTCTTTATGTATTTATATTTTGAGTGTTATTCTGAGAGTCAAAGTCTTCCCGTGTTTTTATTTATTTATTATTACTGCCCCTGTGTTTTGTCTGTGTTGTGACCTAGCTGTATAATCTTCCTGTAAAGCACTTCATAAACTAAAGTTAATACATAAAGCATTATTATTACTATGTAATAATACATAAGAATGATTATTATTGTCATTATTATCATCAATAACACATGCCTTCTCACTGTCCCTTCTTTCTACTTCTCTCTCTCTCTCTCTCTCTCTGTTCTCGCAGTAATAAATGCGTCTGCTGGAAATTACACCGCGTCATTATGGGTAAAACAATCTGGCTGAGTGCTGCTCAGACTAAAGCCTGTTTAAAAGTCGGTGTGGAAGCTCCTTTGTTTGGACGCTGGACGTGCCCTTGCATTTGGCATTGAGCCAACTAGTGGGAAACCTGATGTGAACGCGTGACGAGAACGACAAAGACGAGAGGGACGAGTGCGGGAATTTCTCATCCAATTACGGCTGTGTGTGCGTGTGCTGTGTGGTCAGCCGTGCAGAAACATTTAATTACTAGAAACCCAATTAGGCTGGTGGCAAATATATCAGCAGTGACTAAATACACACAGAGGACTGCAGGGGACCAGCACGCCAGCGGGAGTGTGTGTGTGCGGGTGTGTGGGTGTGTGTGTGGGTGTGTGTGTGTGTGTGTGTGACTTAGAGGTAGGGATGCACGAGTGCTCTTTTATTAACACCGCAGCAGGGAAACCTGTCGCTCAGCGCTAACAAATACAGGTTTCGTCTAGGACTACTCAGTCTGTTCATGATACACACTACAGACCCACCTTCTACCCCACAGCACAACAAGGCACATATGTAACACAGCTGCTGTTCATTAAACTAGCTACACAACTTATTTACAATTAAAGTCCTCACTGCTGCCACAGTGGTATCCAAATTGCTCCGCATGGCCACGCCTCACATGCACCCATGACCAAACAAGCTGGTAGTGGAACACTATTTACACCGATCAGGCATAACATTATGACCACCTCCTTGTTTCTACACTCATTGTCCATTTTATCAGCTCCACTTACTATATAGGTGCACTTTGTAGTTCTACAGTTACAGACTGTAGTCCATCTGTTTCTCTGCATACTTTATTAGCCCCCTTTTACCCTGTTCTTCAGTGGTCAGGACCCCCATGGACCCTCACAGAGCAGGTACTATATGGGTGGTGGATCATTCTCAGCACTGCAGTAACACTGACGTGGTGATGGTGTGTTAGTGTGTGTTGTGCTGGTCTGAGCGGATCAGACACAGCAGTGCTGCTGGAGTTTTTAAACACCTCAGTGTCTCTGCTGGACTGAGAATAGTCCACCAACCAAAAATATCCAGCCAACAGCGTCCCGTGGGCAGCGTCCTGCGACCATTGATGAAGGACTAGAGGATGACCAACACAAACTGTGCAGCAGCAGATGAGCTATCGGGCCATAGTGGGACACTACAGTATGTTTCATAGTTTTGATCCTCAGGTCTCTTTTGGCAACAGTCTCTGTAGCACAGCGACAATCACATCCGAGGAGCTCACTTGTGGAGTTTTACTTACAAAGTCTTTTGTTTGGCTGGTCTAGCTGTACATAAACATCTTCTAAAGCCAGACATACACTGTGCGAACTTAGAAACCTTGTTCTTTGATGAGTCACACTTAAAGTTTGAATAGTCCGTTGTGTACTAAGCCTATGGTTTATATGTTCACACTGTAGATGCCAATGGAAGGACAAAATAGTTTCTCTACAACCTTTCTTGTTAGCCTTGTGTCTTCACCTGTACTGGGGAAGTGGTGTGTTTGTGTCTGTGTTTTCAAATGGGCTAAAATCACACAGTGCGCTCCTGGAGGGAAAGTTGGTGTTTCTAAAAAAGTGGCCAGAGAGTGGAAGTACAAGGTAGGTGTTTCCAGTAAAATGGCCAGAGAGTGGAAGTATAAGATAGATGTTTCCAATAAAGTGGCCAGAGAGTGGAAGTACAAGGTAGGCATTTCTAATAAAGAGGCCAGTGAGTGGAAACACAAGGTAGGTGTTTCTAATAAAGTGGTCAGTGAGTGGAACTACAAGGTAGGTGTTTCCAGTAAAGTGGCCAGAGAGTGGAAGTATAAGGTAGACGTTTCCAATAAAGTGGCCAGAGAATGGAAGTATAAGGTAGATGTTTCTGATAAAGTGGCCAGTGAGTGGAAGTAGAAGGTAGATGTTTCTAATAAAGTGGCCAGAGAGTGGAAGTATAAGGTAGGTGTTTCAAATAAAGTGGCCAGTGAGTGGAACTACAAGGTAGATGTTTCCAATAAAGAGGCCAGAGAGTGGAAGTATAAGGTAGATGTTTCCAGTAAAGTGGCCAGAGAGTGGAAGTACAAGGTAGGCGTTTCTAATAAAGTGGCCAGAGAATGGAAGTATAAGGTAGATGTTTCCAATAAAGTGGCCAGAGAGTGGACGTATAAGGTAGATGTTTCCAGTAAAGTGGCCAGAGAGTGGACATATAAGGTAGATGTTTCCAGTAAAGTGGCCAGAGAGTGGACGTATAAGGTAGGTGCTGTAATAAAGTTTTCTACTTTCTCTCTTTTCTATCTCCCTTTCTGTAACTCAGTCCTGCTATCTTCCTCCCCTGAGGGTGAACAGGTGGGGCAGTCTCTCTGTCACTCTTTCTGCTCTCATCTGTCTCCTCACCCGTCTTACTCACTGTGCTTTTGTCTAACTCACATTTAGCTCACGTCGAACTCTCACAGATAAAGCCATATGCAGTGTCAGGTGTGAGTGTGGGTGTTAAATATCTCTCTTTTTCTCTCCTGTTACTCTTTTTCATGTCCTAGAGGGGATTATCTAATTCATCCCTCGCTCTTTCCCTCTCACAGCTTTCAGTAAAAACCCAGACAGAAAAAAGCCCCTGCAGAAGAAGAAGCATAAAAGAAACGGGCGTGTGAAAGATACGGTACTCGAGTGTGTGTGTGTGTGTGTGTGTGTGTGTGTGTGTGTGTGTGTGTGTGTGTGTGTGTGTGTGAGAGTGTGTGTGAGTGTGTGTGTGTGTGTGTGTGTGTGTGTGGTGTGTGTGTGTGTGTGTGTTCTCTTACCTCATGTTTGCCCTTCATCCTACAGATCCTGATATCATTCCTGTTGGACTCCCACGTCCTCTTCTGCACCACACAGACAGACAGACTGGTCAGTCATACTGTACAGCTAACTTTCCTCATAATTATCTCTTCCACTCTAACATTAATACCACACTAACATTAATACCACACTAACTTTACTGCCACTCTAAATTTACTACCACATTAACTCTACACCCACTCTACCTTTACTACCACATTAACTATACACCAACTCTACCTTTACTACCACATTAATTCTACACCAACTCTAACTTTACTACCACATTAACTCTAGACCAACTCTACCTTTACTACCACATTAACTCTACACCAACTCTAACTTTACTACCACATTAACTCTACACCCACTCTAACTTTACTACCACATTAACTCTACACCCACTCTAACTTTACTACCAAATTAACTCTACACCAACTCTACCTTTACTACCACATTAACTATACACCAACTCTACCTTTACTACCACATTAACTATACACCAACTCTACCTTTACTACCACATTAATTCTACACCAACTCTAACTTTACTACCACATTAACTATACACCAACTCTACCTTTACTACCACATTAATTCTACACCAACTCTAACTTTACTACCACATTAACTCTAGACCAACTCTACCTTTACTACCACATTAACTCTACACCAACTCTAACTTTACTACCACATTAACTCTACACCCACTCTAACTTTACTACCACATTAACTCTACACCCACTCTAACTTTACTACCAAATTAACTCTACACCAACTCTAACTTTACTACCACATTAACTCTACACCCACTCTAACTTTACTACCACATTAACTCTACACCAACTCTACCTTTACTACATTAACTCTACACCCACTCTAAATTTACTACCACATTAACTCTACACCAACTCTAACTTTACTATCACACTAACTCTACACCAACTCTACCTTTACTACCACTCTAACATTTCTACCACTAACTTACCTACCACATTAACTCTACACCCACTCTAAATTTACTACCACATTAACTCTACACCCACTCTAACTTTACTAGCACATTAACTCTACACCCACTCTAACTTTACTACCACATTAACTCTACACCAACTCTACCTTTACTACCACATTAACTCTACACCCACTCTAAATTTACTACCACATTAACTCTACACCAACTCTACCTTTACTACCACATTAACTCTACACCCACTCAAACTTTACTACCACATTGACTCTACACCAACTCTAACTTTACTACCACATTAACTCTACACCAACTCTACCTTTACTACCACATTAACTCTACACCAACTCTACCTTTACTACCACTCTAACATTTCTACCACTAACTTACCTACCACATTAACTCTACACCAACTCTAACTTTACTACCACATTAACTCTACACTAACTCTAACTTTACTACCACTCTAACATTTCTACCACTAAATTTACTACCACATTAACTCTACACCAACTCTAACTTTACTATCACACTAACTCTACACCCACTCTACCTTTACTACCACATTAACTCTACACCCACTCTAACTTTACTACCACATTAACTCTACACCAACTCTAACTTTACTACCACACTAACTCTACACCAACTCTACCTTTACTACCACTCTAACATTTCTACCACTAACTTACCTACCACATTAACTCTACACCCACTCTAAATTTACTACCACATTAACTCTACACCCACTCTAACTTTACTACCACATTAACTCTACACCCACTCTAAATTTACTACCACATTAACTCTACACCAACTCTACCTTTACTACCACATTAACTCTACACCCACTCTAACTTTACTACCACATTGACTCTACACCAACTCTAACTTTACTACCACATTAACTCTACACCAACTCTACCTTTACTACCACATTAACTCTACACCAACTCTACCTTTACTACCACTCTAACATTTCTACCACTAACTTACCTACCACATTAACTCTACACCAACTCTAACTTTACTACCACATTAACTCTTCACCAACTCTAACTTCACTACCACTCTAACATTTCTACCACTAACTTTACTACCACATTAACTCTACACCCACTCTAACTTTACTACCACATTAACTCTACACCAACTCTAACTTTACTACCACTCTAATTTTAATACCACTCTAACTTTACTACCACTCTAAGTTTACTACCACATTAACTCTACACCAACTCTAACTTTACTACCACATTAACTCTACACTAACTCTAACTTTACTACCACTCTAAGTTTACTACCACATTAACTCTACACCCACTCTAAATTTACTACCACTCTAACTTAACTACCACATTAACTCTACACCAACTCTAACTTTACTACCACTCTAACTTTACTACATTAACTCTACACCCACTCTAACATTTCTGCCACTCTAACTTAATTACCACATTAACTCTACCCCAACTCTAACTTTACTACCACTCTAACTTTACTACCACATTAACTCTACACTAACTCTAACTTTACTACCACTCTAACTTTACCACATTAACTCTACACCAACTCTAACTTTACTACCACATTAACTCTACACTAACTCTAACTTTACTACCACTCTAACTTTACTACATTAACTCTACACCCACTCTAACATTGCTGCCACTCTAACTTAATTACCACATTAACTCTACCCCAACTCTAACTTTACTACCACTCTAACTTTACTACCACATTAACTCTACACCAACTCTAACTTTACTACCACTCTAACTTTACTACCACATTAACTCTACCCCAACTCTAACTTTACTACCACTCTAACTTTACTACCACATTAACTCTACACTAACTCTAACTTTACTACCACTCTAACTTTACCACATTAACTCTACACCAACTCTAACTTTACTACCACTCTAACTTTACTATCACATTAACTCTACACCCACTTTCTTTTAATTTTACTATAATTTTAAATTTGCTCCCACTTTAACTCAATTTACTCCTACTTTAACTCCCAATCCCTCTTTAACTTTACTATGACTTTAACTTTACTCCTTTTTCAACGTTACTCACTTTAATATGCACAGATTTTACTTCCATATTATTATACTCCAATTAGTCTCATGCTAACTTTACTCTAACTTTGTTCCCACATTACTCTAACTTTACTTTAAACCCCACCTTATTCTATTTTACTGTAACTTCACTCCCACTTTACCTCCATGTCCACTTTTCTCTAAATTCACTCACACTTTACTGTACCTTCGTGTCAAATAATTTTAGCTTCACTGTGACTTCACTCTAAATTTTCTCTCTTTTTAGTGTCATGTTGCTCTCACTTTAATCCCACTTTACTCGCACTATATTCTAATGCCTGCAGTTTATCTTACCTTACTGTAGAACATCTCGTCTCCCACCACATTGTCCAGCTCCACACGGAAAAGGTCATCCCTGACACACACAGAAAGACAACAACTTAGTGAATAACAAAAATACGTATATATATATATATATATATATATATATATATATATATATAGTTTTTATTTGCATTATTTGTGTTATATTTGTCTTGATGATCATTTTTAATCTTTTAGTCACATCTTTAACCAATAAAGTGATTCTGATATGACATTTTGGGCTCGACTGGGAGCAACTGAGATTATATATCACATCAAATTAGTGCCACATCTTCAGCTGTGGATCTGACCCACATCAAAATGACACCAATTTAAAACTAACACATATAACATGGCCCTCAGTTGTTACAGAAACACTTCATTGTGTTCTTCCTGATCTATCACAGCTGACCCAGCTCCCAGAGTGCTTTATTATTAGCTGACCAGTTAAATTAAAGAGTGCTGGGCTCTAAGCCGTCACAACAAATCAGCAGCCACATGAAAAAGATCTGTTTTGATGGACCGTCGGTGCATATGTCTTAGAAAACGGCTACATCCTGAGTGGTTTGGCCTTGTCATTGACCGAAAATGAAACAAGCCCTCTAATTCATGCACAAGCTACCAAAAGGCCAATTCTGGAGTGTCCAGCTAGACCTCGTTACCAAGCAATTCAGCCAAGCTGCAGAGAAATCAGGCTAATGAGCTGCCAATCCACCAGCTTTGTTCATAAACACTCTAACAAGACACATAGCAAATGTGAACTAGAGTGCAAACAAATGTCCACTTCATGTCTGACCGAAGGTAACGGGCAGTCTGAGTATTTGTTATTCCAACGAATTGTTTTTAAAATAAGAGCCGAGTGCACAGCACACAAGTTTATTCGTTATTAAATAAGCAGCAATCCTACAATTTTAACCCTTGGGATGCTACAGCTGGTACTGTGTTTTTGATATGCTAATTAAATGTAATTATGTAGACGTAAAGAATTACATGTAATTAATTACACTTTAGAGGTGGACGCTTTTAGAGGTGGACGTCTGGTTCCTATCACCACCACTGTGAACAATTCTGACTCTGTAAGTTTCTCTAGAACAGAGCGTTTCACACCAAACCACTCTGAATGACTCTGTTTACATCTTAAACATTAATTAAGCAGAAATGTTGAACATATGGTTGAATTTGAAATATTGGTTTAACCCAGAGGTCACAACTCAAATGTTAAGAAGAGCCATTTTGTCCTTTCAATAAAAATCAAACCACCTTGGGAGCCACAACACTTTATGTCCATTTTACGATCTTGGCTGTAAATATGTCACAGTATGTGCTGATGTTCTAGTATAGGCTAAAAAATATAATATAAACGAAAACACAGACTTACTTTGCTCTGCTTTAAGCTTTAGCTCAGCTATGGCTGCTTTTCTCGCATCTCCAGCAGGAAACTTTTCCACAAAAGCAGAACAGTTTCTTGTAAAATGTCTCTTGATGTTTGACTTTTTAAGAGGCTGAAGTCGCTTCTCATTCACCAGCTTCTTGTTTGAATTTTCCCATTCCACCTTAAATGGTGCCTAAGGCGCCAGAATGTACCTGTTGCACTGTTTAAGTTGGAACAGGAAAATCTGAACAAGAAGCTGGCGAATGAGAATCTTCAGCTTCGTGACTTTTTAGTGTTTGTCAGTTTCTTCTTGCAGATTAAACGTATCAGGAAACCAGCTGGAGTGATTATAAATGCAAATAAGCCCATTCGTCTCTAAATTACTGATATTCATCTTAAATTTCTCTCTTTGCCTTTTCGTTAGCTACTAGCTAGGTGAGATGTGTTGTCTGCGTTGCTATGGTGACCAGCAGTCTGCGCTGATCTTCAGGGTTAAAGGGTGAATCAGCAGTTCTACATTAACTCCAGAGTTTAAGACCATTTATTGTTAAACTGTGTTGAACGATCAGCAGAGCTTTATTTTACTGTAAAGGAGGATTATTTTATTTTTACCTACAAATCTGATTCTGCTGTGGAGCCACAACAGGGCAGTCAAAGAGCCGCATGTTGTTGATCACTGCTTTAATGCCTCTAAAAGCTCCCTCACAGAAAGTTATTACATGAAATGGTTATGAATCCACTGCCTGATGTCTGAGACACTGTTTTATGATAGTTTCGAGGAGATTTTGGCCTTCAAATCCATTCATGGCGGAGAGGTACATGCAGGGTGTTGTGAGGCAAAATAGTCCCCAAAGAAAACTTATTACTTCTGACTTTTCACTATTTTCATCATCAACATTCCATATAAAACTCAGAAGACACGTGTAGGTTCACTGGTGGTTTGGAGTCTATACTTGTGTTGTAGCCATGGCGACCCCTGGTTCCTATCACCACCACTGTGAAGACTTTCAACGATCGAGTTACGCAGAAATTTTGAGAATTCCCCTTTGCAATGTTGATGATCCCTGACTTTCCTGATTCATTAACTCCAGTCTCTTGCTCTGCTGTCTCACTGCTCTTCACTGCAGTAAACTAAGCGCTGGTCTCACAGCACCCACAGTTAAAGCTGGTGGTCTGAGCTGTAATGAGGTCACCACTGGACAAAGCACCGCAGACCCCCACCAACAGAATGAACCCCCCGACTCGTCTCAGCGGACGTCCCGCTCGGCTAACGAGCCTCGCTGTGTCCCGGTGTGACTGGCAGGTCTGCAGTGTGGAGAAGCCGAATTCTCGCCGCTTCGTCTTGTTTGACTCTGAAATGAACACGATCTCCGATTTAATCAGCTCCTCTCACAGACACCCCTGCAGCCTTCGGGCCGGCCCTCTGCGGCCCAGATAATACCCAGCGTTCACTGCTCTCTCTCCCTCCCTCTCTGTCTCTCTCTCTCTCTCTCTACTTCCATCGCTTCCTCTCAGATCCCCCTCTCTCTCTTTCTCTCTCTCTGTTTCCTACTCCCTTTTTTCCTCTCAGATCTCTCTAGTACGTCTCTCTTTCTTCGACCTATCTATCTATCTATCTATCTATCTATCTATCTGTACCTGTCTTTCTGTATTCCATGTCTTTTTCTCTCTCTTCCTTGCCGTTTCTCCTTTGTCTTTCGTCTGTCTCTCTCTTCCTCACCCTCTATCTCACTTACAGCTGTCTCCTTATCTCTCTCTCTCCCATCTCATTCTCTTTCTCACTCTTTCTCTCTTCCTTCCATCTCTCTCTCTTCTGTCTCTCTTCTATATCTGTCTCTCTCTCTTCTATTTCTCTTTCTCTACCCTCGTTCTCTCTCCCATCTCGTTCTCTCTCTTCCTCGCCCTCTCTCTCTCTTGCATCTCTCTCTTTGTCTCGTCCAGCTCTCTCTCTCTCTATCTTCTTTCTCTCTCACAGTTCCAGCTCTCTCTCTCTGCCACTCTCCCATGTCTCTCACTCTCTCCCACCTGTCTTTCTCTCCCTCTCCATCCCTCACTTCAAGCTCTCTTTCAAATTCTTCCATCTCTTTCTCTCTGTCTCAGCTCATTCCCTCTTTCTTCCTGGTGTGTCTCTTTCTCTCCTTTCCCTCTCTTTCTCTGTGGCTGTGGAAGGTAAAGCTGCTCTGTGAGTTACAGTTAAAGTCTTAAACAGCAGCCGAATGAAAAAGCTTATGATTTCAAATCTTATGTAGGGCAGAAAAAGAGCAGCTCAGCGGATCTTCCTGAGAGCTCTCCTCTCTCACTCTCTCATCTCTCTCTCTCTGTAACTCTCTGTATCATCTAACTCTCACATTCTCTCTCTCTCTCTCTCCCTCTGTCTCTCTGTCTCTCTCTGTCTCTCTCTCTCTCTCTCTCTTTTGAATACAGTTGTCTGTAATCTGGGTTGCCCTCCTGCAGCAGCATTGATCTTTATCTGTAATCTCTGAGCAGCTCTCCCATCTGGAACACACTCAGAGGAACTGATTTGACTTGTACTGAACTGAATTTAAAGGAACTGGATTGAACTGAACTGAACTGAACTGAACTGAACTGAACTGAATTTAATTGAACTGAATTGAACCAAACTAAACTAAACTGAACTGAACTGAACTGAATTATATTAAATGAAACTGAACTGAACTAAACTGATTTGAACTGAAACTGAACTGAATTGAACTGGACTGAACTGAAAATACTTTATTGTTGTATTATGGATAAATCTATCTTGGTCTCCGTATGGCTGACCGTCAAAGAAAAACAGGAATTCTTCTTATGTTTTGCTGCATTGATGTTTATTTGTATGTATATATATATATATATATATATATGTGTGCGTTAGTCTGTATGTATAAATTATAATGTGTGTTCTATAGTGAAGTGCACTTATGTGAGTGTTTGTGAATGTGTGTGTGCCCTCCCTGTCGACGTCTGACCGGCGCTGATTATAAATTATTCAGCCGTGCTGAGCGTAGTGTTAAGACCAATTCCCCCTCAGACTCTGAGTGACCATGAGAGAGATTACCACACACACACACACACACACACACACACACACAGCGCTCTGTGATCAGTGCTCTGACTCTGAGTGAGAGAGAGAGAGAGAGAGAGAAAGAGAGAGAGGGAGGAGAGAGAGAGGGAGGGAGCGAGGTCAGCTGTGCTCTTCTATATTAACATATGAAAATGTCTGCAGGCTCTGAGCCAGAGACAGAAAGACTGCAGGCTGCAGCTTAACTCCCCTTTATCTCCTCTCCTCTCCCTCCATCCCTCTCTCTCTCTCCCTCTATCTTCACCCCCTGCTCCCCTAATTTCTGTCTTCTTTTGTTAGTCTTTATCTCTCACAACAACAGTAAACACACTTAGCGCCACCTCCTTCTCTCCTCATCCATCTCTCTCTCACTCTGTATTGTCTTTCTTTTTGCAGTAATAAGCAGTGTTGTTCATTTGTGTAGCACCACACACAGCTTATTTTCAATTCTTCAGCAATATGCCTTTTTTAATTTGTGTAGTAATACGCATTTTTTTTATTTGTGTTGTAATATGCAATGTTTTTTTCCATTTGTGTATTAATATGCATTTTTTAAATTCATGTGTTAATATGCATTATTTTATTTGTGTATTTATATGGAATATTATTTTGTCATTTG